AACAGCTAAAGGAGAAAAGAGTTTTTTCATAAAAATAGGGGGGGTCTCAGTGGCGGCGGCGGCGGCGAAATAGTCTCCGGATGGCATTTACAGGTAATAGCCCTCCTGCCTCTCCTCACTTTCTCTTGGAGGGGCCCAGCAGAGCAACAAAACAGAATAGAAGATGCTGGCAGGAGCACCCCGTAACCCTCTGCTGCTTTTAGTAAGGGGGGAAGCAGGTCCAGGGAGTCCTTTCCGCCCCCCAGGGGGGCTTCCCACAACTAGGAAGAGAGCAGCCCTCCCTGTTCTGCTTCTCAACCTTCCTTGGGCAAAAGGCTGGTTTTCCTGCATTCACTCCCCCCTTCTCTCTCTCTGACACACACACACACACAGAGTTTCTTTCCAGAAAAAGCCCTTGCCTTGCACTTGTCACTATCTTGGATTCTAATAAGCCCTCTTTTGGAAATCACATCAGAAACTGATTAGGCTGAGATAAAAGATGGGAGAATGAAAGCAGCTGGTTCCTTTTTTTTCCTGGAAGGAGGCTGCAGCTACTGCAAACGCTGCTGCTTCCTGAAATCTGCAGGACTTCCAAGCAACTACTGGATTTCCTGCCACTTTTAAGCCAGGAATCTTGGCTTCCACAGCCCCTTGGGCAAACCATGGACTGGTGCATGCATCTTTTCACTCCCCTGTTCATGTGAGAGTCTTTACGTGATGTCCAAGTCCGGGATTATTATTGTCAAGTGTGTTCAAGTCAGCTTTAACATCGGTTTTGTTGCTGGTTTATATGTCTTTGTCTCCCCCCTCTGATGTCCCTGGCTCGTTCTCACCTTTTAGGTTAAAAAGCCTGTGGACAGGCAGGATTGCGACAGGTCATGTTTCCAGGCTGGGAAAATCAGCACCTGTTGAATGTCTGACTAGCGTACAAACCCAGCCTGTTTGACTCACAGCAAGGCAGGAACATTCAAAGGGTCAGGATGCTTTAGGGAGAGTTTTGCAACACAGCCTGCCATGGACATTTTCCATTTTCCTTTTTCAAAAAGGAATGCTGTCTTTTCTTGTGGGGGGCGGCTTCAGAAGAAATCTCTTGACTTTTAGGGTGCTGCGCTTACCAGCATCAAAGTCAGTTCTGTTTCCTGAAGCTGGTTTCTGATCCTCCAGAAAGACTGAAACTGTGGTTTCTGTCTTCTTTTCTGAAAAGGTTGATTTCAGGGAAACTGAACCACACAGAGATGAAAGTGTAAAATACGAGCTCGTCTGCAGACCAGCCCGGCGGCTTCTGAATTCCATGGAACTCCCACTCGCTTGGTGGAGACAGAGAGGAACCGGCACTCGCTCTGGTCATGTTTTCCTAGGAAAGGGGTTTGGAGTCCTCCTGATGCAAATCTCATTCACAGGAAGCAGCCTAGTCCCTCTTAGGTCACGGCCCCAACAAGGGGTCGCGCCCAAGGCAGGGCTGGGGGTGGGTGCAGGTGGTGGGCATCACAGTCTTGCACATCCAGCCGTGCCAGGAGAGGGGAAGGGTCACCCTGGGGGCTCCTGGATGTGGCCTTGGAGACTCAAGCCTGAGGGAATCCCTTGAGAGACCTTTTGGATTAGAGGGGGGCCAGGGGGTCATCTGCCTATCCACAAGCCCAAGGAGCGCCCAGGCCACAGTTGCCTTGCAGAGGATAGACTGCTCCTGACCACGGGGCTCCTCTGTGCGAGCACAATTGAGTGGCATTGATAAACCCACCCATATGGCTGTGTGAGGGGGCTTTCTCCTCCCCCGAGGCCCAGCTGCAAGGCTGTGGTCCTTGCAGGGTGACGCGAGTGAAAGAAAAGGGGTTTCAAAAGAAGAAACAAGCAGGGAGCCCTTGGACGACCCTTTTCAGCCACCAGCCGCGGAAAACCTTTATGACCATTCACAGCCTGCTTGGTCACAACCTGTACAGTCACACACGGCAGCTGGAAGCAGCTGTCGGGAGAGGTTCAAACCCCCTCCCCCCTCCCACATCTATGAGGGTTTGCTGCAGAGAAGGAAATGGGGAAGCAGGCAATTTAACTTCATTTGCTTATTTGTGGGTCTGCTTCTGAGGAAGAGCTGTTTTATACATCACAGGAGACAGAACTTCCCACAGCAGCAACTGCACAAATATTACTCAGCTTCCAGAGAAACTCAGTGGGTCAGAAAAGGAGACTGCGCAGCTGGCTGCTGCCCTCTGCCGGGCGAAGCTTCTGCGGTGGCCGCGAGGGCTGCGCCTTTCTGCGCACAGCAGGAGATTGGCCCTGGTCGCTGCCGGCTTCTCTTCCTTGAGAAATGCACACCCTTGGCGAGAAGTGCCAGGCCCAGGGCTGTCTGCGCAGCGGCTCCTCTCTTATCTTCCTGCCCTTGTTCTCCAGCCAGCTCAGGGTCACGATTAATGGCCTGGCACCTTCCGTGTATCAACCTGCCACATTTCAAAGACTGGTGCCTTCATCCTCCGGAGGTGCCAGTGTCTCGCCACGCCAAACTTTCCTTCCTTGAGGCTGATGGTCTGGTCTCAGAGATGCCAGCGAGCAGGGCAAGGCAGTCTGCCCATGGTCAGAAGACCCCCTTTTTTCCCTGGCTGCCCACCATTGAAAGCAGCCCCGTTCTCAAAGGCTCAGCTCCTGCTAGTTTCTTGCACGCCAAGAGAGTGGTCTGGAGCTTCCCCCCACTCTTTTCCTTTTGCCCATGTTGAACCTACAGAGCTTGAGAGCTGTGGGGCCAACAGGCTGGGATGAAGCTGGTGGGGCAAAACACCATTCCTCTGCCTGAGCTCCCCCAAAACAGCTTCTCCCCAGCCCAGCAACCCTGAAGATTCCTGGATGGATTTGTGCAAACAGAGCAGCCTTTCTTGGGAGGGAGGGGGGGCTTTCCCTTGGCTGATCAGAACCTGGGAAACACTGAGCCCTTCATCCTCCCCCCCCAACTCTCCTCATCCTTTATCAGGTTGGCTCAGGGCTCCCTCCCATCTCGCACTGCCAAAGGACCAGAAGGGGGGCTGGACAGTGGGGCTACTCAGTTCCCCCATCCTGCAGCAGCCTTCACTGCCACCAAAGACAAGGCTGGATTCTGCTCTGGCATGGGAAGGACTCGCTGCAAAACCACCCGCCTGGAGTGGTGGGCACAGAACCCGCACAAGGTGACCTGATTTCTCTCTGTTGGGGTTGGATTCCCTCAAAAGACTTTCTGGGGCAAAGAAGGAAAGGAAGTGGGTGGCTGTGGTAGGAACACCCTTTGCATGAACAAATCAGCTGTTAAAGGTTTTAAGATAATTAGATTTCAGGAAGAAATGTGAACTCATTAGACCTTAATGAGATGAAACATGCATTTAAATCTTGACTGCAACGCCCACGGGAGGCTAAAATTAGAGAACCGGCTTTTCTGTCTCCCTCCACACAGGCTGGGAAACTCAACATCAGTTTCACATGTGCGGATGCCTTCGCTGACCTCTTTCTGTGCTGCAGCTCAGAGACCCATTGCCAAAAAGTGCTGTCTGCACACGGGCTTCTCTTTCTCCCCACATCCCATGCCGGGTGGAGAACGTTGGCCTGACCTTCACGTCTCCCCTTCACAGTGGTGGGGGAGCAGCCTTGGGTACTCAGTGTGTGGGTCATGGGTGCTCTCACAAAACAGCTGCCAGCGGGGAGGTCAGCTGGCAGACTGGAGAGTTGCTGGTCCTACCGCCCTCCAATTTTTATTTTTTTTTTCTGTGTCAGGCAGGCACATCTTCTGAACTGACCTAGGAAAACTATTCTGAATGGGAACAGCAGTTTGGGAGAGGCCAGGGTCCAGCCCCCTCCCCCCGCCTTCCTTCAGGGCTCTTTTGCGGTTTGACTGGTGAACGGGGCAGGGAGGTTGGAGGGAGGCGTTTCATTCTGGCCAACAGGAAGCACCACAGTTAATTGTGAGGTTATTAGGATCCTGATTTACAAGGAAGGAAAGACACATGAATTAGCACACAGTCTTAATAGGGAGCTGGAATTTGGGACGATGAAACTGCATGGCACCTCCCCCCTCCATCCTCACCAGAAGAGGCTGACAGGAAACATCAGGAAGTCATCAAGCCACTGTTGCTCTTCTGCACCGGCACATCGGGGTGCATGAGGAATGCCAGAGGACAGGCCCAGGGAGCCTTCGGTCTAAATCTTGACCCAAGAGAAACAGCAGCAGAAGGAGGAGGTGGTGGTGGTGATGATGGAGAAGAATGGGAGTGAGAGGCCAGAATCAGCACGGGCTCTGTTACAATAGAGCAGCTTTGGCCTGTTTGAGTTCCCGTGCCCCCACGTTCTGGACTGCAGCTCCCATCATGCTGGGCCCTTAGTGCGCTGCCTGGAGTCGTAAACAAAAGTTCTAGCGGGGCACAGGATGGGAAAGGCTGCAGTGGGTCTTAGGAACGAGGCAGGTTCGGAAGGATGGTCTGTCTCCTGGCACGCTGACCGGTTTAAGAGAGGCAGGGAGGGGCCTGCTCAGCAGCCCCGCGGCCCGGGCAGGAAAAGGGCTCCCGACTCTGCCATCTGGTCCGACCGGCTGCTTGACCGGCGAGCCCAAATGACAGGGCCGGGCCGTCAATTAGTCCGGGAGGTTCCCACTCCGAGCCAGCCATCCGCGTGGGTTGGACACCTCCGGCAGGAAAGAGAGGCCGGCCACACCTGGCCACACCCGCTTGACTTGCACAGCTGCCGCCTTCAGCGCGGAGCTGAATGAGGAGAGCGGAGAACCGGGGAGGGAAACGGGGGCGCCTTCGCCGGGGCCACAGACTGCCGGCGGTTCCTTCTCTCTCGCAGAGAGGAGGCTGATCCAGGACGAGCTGGACCCTGGGTTGCTCAGGCGAGTCGCGCGGGTCCTCGGGGCACCTTGGAACCCTAACCCTAAAAACTCCCAAAACCGGGTCGTGGGAATGGCGGCCACCGTACTGGCTGGGG